AATCTAATGCGTGAGGAGTTTTAAAATGAATAATTTACCATTTTCCTTAATTTTTGAATAGCTGTACAATAAAGAAAAGGATAAATACACCAATGACGATGCTCCATGATTTTTAAATTAATAATATTATTTATAACTGGTGATTCTTGTTGAAGAAAAAAAAGCAAATAACTTTTGTAAACTTTAAAATAATTTTTATTTGCATAAAATAAGATTAAAGATTTTACCTAAAAATATTGTTATTTTGGACAATTTCTCACAATTTTAGGGCTATCATTTTTCTTGGTGTAAAGCGAACAATTTAAAGTGGCTCTCCTGCAAATCTCGGAAACAACGTGCTCTTAGCTGACTTCTCTTACTAAGCCATTGAGCACTTGGCTTTAAAGCGAACTGCCACGACTGGTTGTAGAGCTCTCTGCGGTTGTTTTGGTATATGAGTTTGATTCCCGGGAATAAATGTATAGTAGTATCCTAGTCTTCTCTTTATTGATAATTTCGTAGATATTTTTCTCTATAGCTGTTAATTTGGTCTTCTGTGCCCCGCTATTAAAATGAGTTGTATTGCGCCTCTATGTGTAGAGACTGTGTGATTGAATCTGTGGAATGCGGACAATCCGGTCAGCAAATAAAATTCTTTGCACAGCCGCTCGGCAAAACTGGGTAATGTAGCCCACAAAAGGAGTGGCCAGGCACTTGACACCCGACTTGCAAGCCTGGCGATGCAACCAGAAAAAAAAAATGCTGGGTTCGCAAAAAAACGCACTCTAAATTACTTTGTCGGTAGATTAAGAAATTAATTTTCTATTGAAAAAATGTTTAAAAATGTTATTTCGATGTCTAATTTAGTTTATAAGAGCGTTCTGAGGTCTGCTTGCTCTTTGCACTAATCGAAACATTTATAAAACGTGACCCATGTATAGCTACTTATTAAAAAGTGATAACAAAATGGGATTTCAATGACCAAATCCTGTTTACCACAACTCGAGACCAAAATGAAATAGGCACGAAAATTATTAGATCGTCCAAATGCAAACTTTCAATTCTAAGGTTAATTGTTGATTTTGTGATCAAGTTTCTTATTCTGAACGCTTATAATGGATCTTATTCCATTTTGAATTTAGTGCGCTTGGAAGCTTTCGTGGGCGTCGTAATTAGCTCAAAAATATTTTATTTTTAAGTCTTTTATTTTTCTTACCACCACCCTTTTCTCAAAATAGCAAAAGAATTGATAAACATTTTTGGGTTTTAAAGCCTATTTCAGTTATTTTTTTGCAAAAATCATAATTTTTGAGCCAAACCATTTACGGAGATTATGACAAATCATTTTTCGGTTTCTCATCACCCCTAACATGCGCGAAGCTCAAGCAATTGTTTGGAAAGGGCAAACTCAACCTCTGTATAGATTTTTATATAAGGCTATGATAAGGCCCAGATCGTTGTCGCATCTACCCTTCCACTTGGATGTGGAAAACTCATCCGAGGCTTAAAAAAATGAATAAAATATGTAGGTGTACGTACGACAAAACTGTCGTTTAAATAAAATGGCAGACATTTTTCGTAGAGCACTGCATATATTAACTCAATTCTTTCCAGGATTGTTATAAAAACAAGAAAGGAAAGCTAACTTCGGGCGGAGCCAAAGTTTATATACCCTTGCAGAATATTCTGTAAATTATATTCTACAAAATTATTCATATAATGCATTCTTAATACTCATAAAAAATCCCAACTTCCTAAGTTTAAAAACACGAAAGTTTTGGCATTTCCGATCAATCAGTTATATGGCGGCTTTAGGATATAGTCGGCTGATATTTATGAAATTTGAAACACCAAAGTTATGGCATTTCCGATCGTTCAGTTATATGGCAGCTATACTGCGAGGAAAGGAAAGAATGGGGTGTGCAAAGTTACAATTCGATATCTTTAAAACTGAGAGACTAGTTCGCGTAGAAACAGACAGACGGACAGACAGACGGACAGACAGATGGACATGCTTATATCAACTCAGGACGCGATCCTGATCAAGAATATATATACTTTATAGGGTCGGAGATGTCTCCTTCACTGCGTTGCACACTTTTGACCAAAATTATAATACCCTCTGCAAGGGTATAAAAATACTGCAAAAACAAGAAAGGAAAGCTAACTTCGGGCGGAGCCGAAGTTGAAATACCCTTGCAGAATATTTTGTAAATTATATTCTCCAAAATTATTCATATGATGCATTCTTAACACTCATAAAAGTCCCAACTTCCTAACTTTAAAAACACCAAAGTTATGGCATTTCCGATCAATCAGTTATATGGCGGCTATAGGATATAGTCGGCCGATCCTTTTGAAATTTGGTGGGTCAGATTAATTGGCCAAATATAAAATCCATAGAAAATCCCAGCTTCCTAACTTTACAAACACCAAAGTTATGGCATTTCCGCTCAATCAGTTATATGGCAGCTATAAGATATAGTCGGCCGATCCTTATGAAATTTGGTAGGTCGGATTGATTGGCCAAATATAAAACCCATAGAAAATCCCAACTTCCTAACATTACAAACACCAAAGTTATGGCATTTCCGATCGTTCAGTTATATGGCAGCTATAGGATATAGTCGGCCGATCCCGGCCGTTCCGACTTATATACTGCGTGCAAAGGAAAGAAGGGTGTGTGCAAAGTTTCAATTCGATAGCTTTAAAACTGAGAGACTAGTTCGCGTAGAAACAGACAGACGGACAGACGGACATGCTTATATCAACTCAAGAGGTGATCCTGATCAAGAATATATATACTTTATAGGGTCGGAGATGTCTCCTTTACTGCGTTGCACACTTTTGACCAAAATTATAATACCCTCTGCAAGGGTATAACAAAGCAGGAATACATTAGAGGCTATCGACCTTTTAAGACCTTAAATGTAAAATTATTGTATAGTTAACATTTAAAATTTTATTTTTACATAATATATATTTTATTTATTTTATTTTGTCAAATTAAAACTAGTATATAATACTAACATTAATGGAAAAGAAATGACATGAAAAGTTAAATCCTTCGGCCTTCATAAAGTATATTTTACTGCATTGCTGGATTATTAATTAAATTATATTTTTTAAAAAGACAACACGACATTACTACGTTTTTAGAAGTGTTATTTTTGTAGTGTCTGCAATATATGGTATATAAACTTTGGCCTGGCGATGTTTGCTTTCATTCTTGTTAGTTTTAAGAAAACAAGTTCCATCCTTCTGTGACGAGTTCAACAATAGATATAAAAAAATAAAAAATTGTTTGTTGTTTCCTTGGTTTTAATTAAATTATGAAAAAATTTTAATTTTTTAATTTCTTGTTTTAAATGCATTTTTCTAAAAATTAATGGTTTTTGTATTAAGAAATGATATTTCTTGTTATAAGAACTAGTTTTTGTACCCTTATACCCTATTATAATTTCAGTCAAAAGTTTGGAACGCAGTGAAGGAGAAATTTCCGACCCTATAAAATATATATATTCTTGATCAGCATCACCAGGAGAGTCGATCTAGCCATGTCCGCCTGTCCGTCCGTCTACCCGTTTCTACGCAAACAAATCCCTCAGTTTTAAAGCTATCTGCTTAAAATTTTCTAAAAGTTGTCTTTCTATTGCATGTAGTATATAAGTCGGAACGAGCCAGTTTGGACGACTATATCACATAGTTCCCATATTAACAATGGGAAAACATTTTTTTAAAATTATAACTTTGTTGTTTTAAAATAGTTTTTTTTGTTCTTTGGGATTTGGTAATATTTAAATATTATGGAATTACGGTTTTAACTAAATTAAAATCAACAATATCGTATAGCTGCCATAAAAACGATGGCAAAATGCAGCGCAAATTCGACACAGCTTCATTGTTTTTAGTAATACAGGCTTAGAAATCGAAATGTAGTCGATTTGTAATAACTGCAAGGGTATATAAACTTCGGCTTGCCGAAGTTTGCTTTCTTTCTTGTTAAGAAAGAATTAACACTTGTTAACAAATAAAAGGTACTTTTTCTAGATTGTAAGGCGAAAACAAAGGTTTTTTTATAAACGTGGTACAGTACTATATCCAGTACAGTACTATTCCATTAACGACAAGGCTTCGGCGTGATTGTTCATATACAAGTAAAACTGGTCAGGAATTGCTGAATTTTCCTGTTTCTTAAATTGTGTGCCGCTGACACCGATGCGGCGGCAAAAACTGCAGTCTTGCACATATATTACGCAACGCCTTAGATTCGGCCCAATGAATTGCAGCCAAAACAGCAAACTAAAATCAAAAACCCGAACACGTATGTAGGTACACGCACTGGCAGTAGGTACTACACATGTCAAACCTTTTTTAAGGTGATCTTCGTAAAATTAAAAACATCCCATCTGCTGACTAGTACACGTGCAATTACGGCCAACACTGGATAAACCTGCGAAAAGCCCTATATTTCTTGCTTTTCACAATGCATGTGAAACTGGAAGTGAAATCGACTCTTTTGAAACGCCTGCAGGGGAACTCAGGTATTATCACCTGCCCGCCACATATAATACATATGTATGTATATATCACCTATACCTATATACACATTTAACTCAAAATTCAAAAATCGCCCGTCTCACTGGATGCGCTGGGCTGTCGAGTTGAGCCGGCACCAAGGCTATGCCTCGCCAGAAAGTCCCACAAAGCAACCACATTCAAGTCGCGGCTCATTCGTATGCAAATCGGTCCGATAGGTTGCTCTCGCAGCCGAGGCTTACGGCTTTTTCTCTTCGAATGCGGGGCACCCGTCTGCAATAGTTGGACAACTTTGGCAAGGCTTAGTAAAAACAGCATTCCGCTGAGTATTTCTATGGGAGGGTCGTTGTGTCAATCAGCCCACCTTAACTGAAGTATGTTGAAGAGCTGATAACTTTCCGTACTGGAGCCAGCATGCTAATCATTTGGAGCGGCAGCATGACAGCTGGACACCTGGAATTTAAAAAACATTCGCTTTGGCATAGGATCGTACTCTGTAAACAGTTTATTGTAGGTATTTATTATATATATAAAATTGCATATAGGTAATTTACGGCTTATCAATTCGGCAGATCGGGATGTGTTCCCCGAAGCGATAGAACATTTGAACATCGTCTCCGACACGGACAAGGTAATCGTATTATAATATTCTACACTACGTATTATACGGTTAATATATGGTATCTCGTGGATTCACGGTTACTAGCCAGCGCACGTTCTTTTAGTATAAACCTAATAAGGCACACATATTCATTTAAGTAGAATTGGTTTCCGTGTGGGAGTCCTCTCCCAGACCTTCGCTAGACCATCTTTTCAATCTGGTGTACTACAAGGTTTCACTCGCCGCTTTCGATCGTACCCATTTTATTTTGACCAGCATCGCTAAACGTTGTGTAAATCTATCTATGTATGCATTAACTTCGCGGTTCCTCTTGGCAGACTAACCAAGAAGTTATCTTATAGACATATAAGCTCTTATCTTCGCGGCTTCCCGAAGCTGCTGGCTGGCCCAAGTGGGCCGTAGATGGCATGTGGATGCGGAGGGTGAGCGTGAGGATGCTGGCCGGGTCCTGGACCCTGTCCTCCGCCATTTTGCATTGATATGGCCGCCTGCTTGCGCTGCAGTGAGTTCGGGCCCATAGGTCGCTCGCCTTCGTTAAGGTCAAGACCTGCTACCATCTGGGCGATCTCACGTTCCTTTTTTATGTCTGGCGGGTTAAACTGCAAGCTGGCCAATGATCCGTGGCTACGGCTGCGATGCTCCTGGCGTATAGAGTAACTGAAGGCTCGCTCGTTCAAGTGTCCTTTGCGCTGAAAAAAACACGAATATTAATAACTTATGTTTTTCTAGAGCTTTGAGTTTTGAAGGGAAATTATTAACTCTTGTTTTTTTGGAATTCTATAATTTGCATTGATTAACTAAAGATCAATCGATCAATCTACACCCAGAAAAGTAAAAAAGTTTCCGTTTAAATACATTAGTTTTTTTAACTGCCTTTAACAATTTTCGGTCGAACAATCCTATGTCTACTTTTTGATTGACTAAATGGCCAGATCGTTAGCCTAGGAGTTGTTCTTTCCCCGACTCGATTGAAGATCATATCAAGGTAAAAGTTTTTCATCACTTAAAATTTTAAGTAATTAATAAAAAATTGTCTATGAATAAAAATAAATGTTTACTTATTAATTTAAGCAAATTAAGAAAAACAATCTTAAGCTTTTTTAAATTATTTTTTTATTTCATTTGTAGTCTTTTTCAAAACCAATAAAACTTTTTCTCAAGTCGACCTTAGTAGTTCTTACCGATTCGATTTGAGTGTTTTCGATCATGGCCTACCCTGTCTGACCTGATCTGATGTGCCGAGCCACAGAATCTTTTAGATTTAGTGTTGCACTAGATTCATGCTATGTGGATATTTATACAAATATTTTCAATATAAATTGAAAAGCTAGGCTAATTCAAACATTGAGCTTTAAAAATTAATTAATTTTATCGTTTAAGTGATCAATAATCTATCACAAATAAAGAAGAAGAAACAAAGCAAACATCGGCAAGACGATGTTTATATTCCATTGCAGCTATACAAGTTAAATGGTCTTTGAAACGTATATGTAATGAAGCTATGTTGATTTGTTGATAAACTCTTCGATCATTCCTATGGCCGGTACATAATAAAGTCGTCTAATTTAAAAAAAAAATAAAAATAACTTTATCTCGGAGAATTTGCGTACATGTTTAAATACAATGCAGTTATGGCTGCTTATTACTTAGTCGTCCGATTTCAGAAATAGAAAGAACATTACACTTGTTCGCATAGAAAAGGACAGGCGAAAATGGCTAGAATAACTCTCCTGTTGATCATTACAATTTGGTAGGTCGGATTGATTGGTCAAAAATAAAACCCATAGAAAATTCCAACTTTCTAACCTTACAAACACCAATGTTATTGCATTTCCGATCAATCAGTTATATGGCGGATATATTCGGATATATAGGATATATGCCGGCCGTTCCGACTTATATACTGCGTGCAAAGGAACGAAGGGTGTGTGCAAAGTTTCAATTCGATATATTTAAAACTAAGAGTCTAGTTCGTGTAGAAACAGAAAGACGGACAGACGGACAGAAGGAAATGCTTATATCAAAAATTATGATACCCTCTGCAAGGGTATAAAAATGTAAGACGTCGCGGTGAAGTATTATTCTGACCTTTCGGAAAAGCCAAGCCATCGAGCTTTCGTCGCAATAACCGGACGGACACTATAAGCGGAGTCGTTATAACCGTACTCTACTATATATGTAATTTTTTGTTGTTGGTACAAATTCAAATATTATTCAGCTCATTCTTCCTATGGTTTCCATTTGCCCAGCTTAATTTGAGCGAAGCGCACCCACCTTGTATATCCCAGTGCCGCCTGGCGATGGCGACTCGGCCCCCGAGTTTCCGGAGTCGTCCAGTCCGTTGCCCATAGATGCCGCCAGCTTGCGGTTAGAGTGGCCCAACCCACGGCTCTCCCCGATGAGGGACTGGGCCAGCTGGGGGGACGGAACGCTTCCGATGACCTGCTGTTGATGGTAGGCGTAGATAGGCGGAACAATGGGCATGCCCACGGGTACTCCGCCACCTCCAGCCGCGCCATTCCTTTTATCCTTTTTCTTCTTCTTGCTTGTGGAGCGAGACGGCTGAAGCGTGGCGTACTGCTGCGGCATCATCACGGGAATCTGCATAGGCGGCATGCCAACGATGTGGGGGTGGTGCATCATATTAACCTGGTGCTGTGGGGAATGTGGTGGCGGGTGATGAGCCAGGTGGCTGTGTGGACCCGGGGGAAAGCCGCGGTGGCTTATCGTGTGGTACCGGGCGGCGTGGGGTCCTTGTCCGGGTACGTGTCCGTAGATCATGCTGCCAGGTCCCGGCGTCCCCTGGAAGCCGGAGCGATGCAAAGCTGCCGCATGCACGGGTTTCGGGCGAATTAGAGTACCGGAGAGGCTCTGGCTACCGCTCGACTTCGACGACTTTTTGTCCCGCTTCGACTTGCGCTCCTCCTTAACAGGAGGCGGCGGTACGTCGATGGGCGTGCTGATTTGCCGCGCCCGAAGGGGCCTCCCCAAGGTGGAAGTGTTTCCAGCAAACAGTTCGTAGGGACTCTCTACAGGCCCAATGCTATCGAGCTGGTCCTGCGACCCACTCCAGACCTTGTGGTTCTCGTCGCCATTGTACGACGCATCTCCGTCATCAACGGTCACGTTGAGGTCAGCACTGCTGCCATAGACTTTAAAAGATAAAGTTAAATTTATTAAAAAGGTGAAGCCAAGTAATATAATTTAGTTTTAAGATAATGCAAAATAACGGTGCTTTTTAATAAATACGCTTATGAGCGTAACTTTTAGCAAATAGTGTGTTCTTCTAGTGTGTAATCTTTTTTATTATTCGTATGTATTCGCATTTGATTTTTTGAACAAAAAAATGTGGCTTCAAAATTTGTGTTAAAACTTCAAATATCCGGATACACGTGTTAACTTATTTGTCGAAAAAAGTCGGAAAATAAATCAAAAGAATATAAAAGAATGACACGTGCTGTCAGAATTATTAGTATTTTTTTAATTTTTTTATAAAATTTTTTTGCAATAATTTTTGCATTTTAAAAAGAAATCTTAAGCTTGACCGAAAATAAATTAAACAAGAAAGAAAAGCTAACTTCGGGCGGAGCTGAAGTTGATATACCCTTGCAGAATATTCTGTAAATTATATTCTCCAAAATTATTCATATGATGCATTCTTAATACTCATAAAAAATCCCAACTTCATAACTTTAAAAACACCAAAGTTATGGCATTTCCAATCGTTCAGTTATATGGCAGCTATAGCATATAGTCGGCCGATCCCGGGCGTTCCGACTTATGTATATACTGCGTTCAAAGGAACGAAGGGTGTGTGCAAAGTTTCAATTCGATATCTTTAAAACTGAGAGACTAGTTCGCGTAGAAACAGACTGACGGATAGACGGACATGCTTATATCAACTCAGGACGCGATCCTGATCAAGAATATATCAAGAATATTTATATTTATTTATATATTTATAGCACACTTTTTACCAACATTATAATACCCTTTGCAAGGGTATAACAAATTGATAAAAAAAACAAGAAAGGAAAGCTAACTTCGGGCGGAGCCGATGTTGAAATACCCTTGCAGAATATTCTGCAAATTATATTCTCCAAAATTATTCATATGATGCATTCTTAATACTCATAAAAAATCCCAACTTCCTAACTTTAAAAACACCAAAGTTATGGCATTTCCAATCGTTCAGTTATATGACAGTTATAGAATATAGTCGGCCGATCCTTATGAAATTTGATATGTCGGATTGATTGGGCAAAAATAAAACCCATAGAAAGTCCCAACTTCCTAACTTAACAAACACCAAAGTTATGGCATTCCCGATCAATCAGTTATATGGCAGCTATAAGATATAGTCGGCCAATCCTTATGAAATTTGGTAGGTCGGATTAATTGGCCAAATATAAAACCCATAGAAAATCCCAACTTTCTAAATTTACAAACACCAAAGTTATGGCATTTCCGATCAATCAGTTATATAGCAGCTATAGGATATAGTCGGCCGATCCTTATGAAATTTGGTACGTCGTATTGATTGGCCAAATATAAAACCCATAGAAAGTCCCAACTTCCTAACTTAACAAACAGCAGAGTTATGGCATTTCCGATTAATCAGTTATATGGCAGCTATAGGATATAGTCGGCCGATCCCGGCCGTTCCGACTTATATACTGCGTGCAAAGGAAAGAAGGGTGTGTGCAAAGTTTGAATTCGATATCTTTAAAACTGAGAGACTAGTTCGCGTAGAAACAGACAGACGGACATGGCTATATCAACTCAGGAGGTGATCCTGATCAAGAATATATATACTTTATAGGGTCGGAGATGTCTCCTTCACTGCGTTGCACACTTTTGACCAAAATTATAATACCCTCTGCAAGGGTATAACAATGAAGCCATGTCAAAAAAATTAAAAACAACAAAGTTATAGTTGTTTTGCATTTTTTTTTTGATTGTTCCTATAGGAGCTATATGATAAAGTCGCCCGATCCGGTTCTTTCCGACTTATATACTACCTGCAATAGAAAGACAACTTTTGGGAAACTTTCAAGCAGATAGCTTTAAAAATGAGGGACTAGTACGCGGAGAAAAGGAGGGACGGGCGGACAGACGGACATGGCTAAATCGACTCTCCTGGTGATGCTGATCAAGAATATATATAATTTATAGGGTCGGAAATGTCTCCTTCACTGCGATGCAAACATTTGACTGAAATTATAACTATAACAACGGTATAAAAAACAACGAACAGCTATTCGTCAGTACGTGGCAGTCTAGACAAAATAACTGAAAACGAGGAACGTATAGATCTTCAGATAAAATATTAATTTAATGCACTTAAAAGACGACTGAGAGTAGGCTTTGTAAGATTTCCCCTGACCTTCATGGTCGGATGCTGTCCGCTGGCTATCGATATCCATTGCGCACTTGTTTTGCCTTTCGATCTGCTGACGAAGGCGAAGTGCTGACTCACCAAAGACGACGACGGGCAAGTGGCGGCTAGAGCTGGACAAAGCACTCGAATACAAATTAGCCAAAACGCTGACCATCGACTAAGCGCGTCTAATCCGCTCTTATGAACGAAAATAGGCCAAGACCATTGGTCTCGCGACGGCAAACGCATTCAAATAAACTGGTCAGCGATTCCGATCGAGTTGGTCCGACTGGCCTCTCCTGGATCGCTTAGTCAGTCAGTCAGCGGACTCTAATCCAAACCCACAAACATTTACTCACACTGCAGCACATTTGGGCCATAGAGGCAACGGTTTCGTAATAAATAACAGTAATTTAATAACCTGAGCGTGGCTACACCTGCAACTGTCGCCAAACCACAGACCCGCAGTTCCCCTCACCCCGTTCAGTCCGGTCATAGACCTAGACGCCACCAGCCCGAAAGTCGAGTCCGACTGTCCGGTTCCCGTCCAACTCTCAGTCATGTTGAAGACCCGGCCCAAGTTGGCTCAGTTAGACCAGCGACAACGCGATGAGTTACTTTGCAAATGTCTTCTGTGGCCACTTCACTATCTTGCCATTCCAATTTTTTTAACGCAGCTATGTAGCTAGTGTTTTTAGTTTTCGTTTGTTATTCTAACCGGGGGCTCTTTCCTGGGCGTGGCTGCCTCAAGCGCTAGCTAGAAACCTGCTCGGCCTCGGGACTATTGACCTCCAGAGTTATAGGGCTTTGAAAATAAGAGCCGTAGTAGCTCTTGTTATGGTATTATGCGACACAAAACTTTTGAACTTACGAAACAACAAAATATTATTGTAGGAAGCCTGCCTAATTAGCAGCACAATATGTATAGTCATGACCAAATTTCAAATGCATCGGGAGGAATACTCTTCTTCACCAACTACATTGCTAACTGAGATAATCTGTTTCTTTTGCCACTTTCATTTATCTTAATTTCCTTTTAAAAAGTATACGTGTTGCGTAGAAAGTTAGCGTTTTCGACACAAAGTTCCACCATTTGAAATTCTTTTGTTTATTAGATGTAATCATTAAATGACACTATTAAATATACATTGCCAGGCGATAATACACCGGTGCATTAAAATAAATACGTTCCTTATGAATTAATATACATATTGGTCAGCGAAACATAGTTAACTCAGCAGGAAGCTTAGTCGGGCCGTTTAGCAAATATACAGCTACCGTACGGAATGTAATTTGCTTAAATGGTTGCGGAAGTCCAGATTCCCGATCATTTAATTGGTTTCATTTGTCCGGCATAGTTGTAGAAAGTAAATTACATTCCATTTGAGGCTATGGCTAATTTAACTTGAGCGTTTACCGATTTTAAATTACGTCACAATTTTACTGTTCCTGTTTTGATCACGGAACTACGGAAAAGTGTTTGAACAACTTTGCTCGATTTTCGTTTCACCAAGTCATTTGTGCTTACGTCATTTTCAGAGGAAATTGATATACGACCATCCAAAAGTAAAATTGATACTCTCACTTACTTTCCGAGGGACAGCGAGATGCGCATGCGTGCGTGAAAATGAAAATGGAAGAAGATAGTATGGAAGCTTAACCGTCGACTCGAAGCCAGTATCATTCATGCAAGGTGCCGGGAAAGGTGGGTTTAGTAGAAATACCACGTATCCAAGGCTTGGCTAAGCACCCTGCTGGCATTTATCCGTTTTTCGGGGCCACACAAATTTCAGCGGAAGAGGAGTGGCAAAAAACGAAACGGCAAAGCAAAAACTTCACCCATCATTTTCAAATGGGGGTTATTTTAACTCTTTTTTGCTGCTTGTATTTTAAGTTACCAAAAAAACAAAATCAATCGCATGGAATGCAGTTTTCTTGCTGATTTTTATCATTGCCTTTGCCAAGCTTTGGAAACCAACGTTAGAGGGACGCAGGTGCAGCTGAAGTTTGGAATCTAGGCCGACTATGTCACACCAGAATGCCAAAAGAATGACTAACAAAACAGTAGAGAGCTCACAGAGACAAGATGTCTTGATAGGGTATCCAAAAAGAGTCTGGTATATGAAAGTGAACTTTAAAATAGAGCTACTTATGGCATATAATAAATTTAAGCCAAAATAATATATGGTTGAACTTAAACAATTTTTTTACACAAGCTTTAATATACTAGTTTAGTATACTGACATATGCCAGTTCCAAATCTTACATATTCCTTGTGATCGCTAACTTTTTCTATATCGTTACGATCACGTCCCGCGTTGAAATTGCTCCATCGAGCCCGCGAAAAAGGTTTCATGCGGTTGTTGCGTGCAACTGAGTCATTAAACTGCAACTGGATTTCGGTTAATGTGTGCCGTCTTTGTTTTTGCCTCGCCTTTCTCTGCCTCCAGTTCGATTCTGTCCAGCCTCTTTGCATAATAGTGCAACAGCAACAATGAGTTGCGAGATGGACGCAAACGGTGATCGTAATCGTATTTTTGAAGCCCCAGCTAAGATTGCTCTCATGGACAACTGGCCGCGCTGACGTATTGATAGTTTATTTTGGAACAACTGGAGATCATGTTACGGCGCGACTAACGTATTTTTTGTACCCCTATTTGTTAATCACTTCCACACTATTTTTCTTAAGGCTTATCCCAAAACCACAGGAAAAATGTTTTAGCTAACATAGGAATTCTTTATAAGCAATAAAATAGGCTTACATCAGTTAAAATATATCTTAAAAAGTGTCGCGTTCTAATTTTGTTTTAAACAAATTTCTTAAATTAAGACCAATGGGCCAAAAATTGCTTAAAGATGTGCACAACAAAAAACCATAGACCTGTTGTTTACTAACTATTTTACTTCGAGAAATTATGTCAATTTCACGTTACAATACCGCCTGGACATATATTAACAAGACTGCAAGAAAACTGATTTTCCTCGAATTTATGAAAAATATTTAAGCTTCCCTAAAAAAATTTTCCAACATTTCAAGCTTAGTTTTTTTTACAATTTCAACATTTTTTCCTTTAGACTACTTAAATAAGAATACTAAACTTGCCGGAACTTCAGAACTAAATTGCTTATACATTTTTAAACTGTCTGTAAAAGAAACCTTTTTAATAAATTATAAATTATGCTTCGGCATCTATTTTGGCAGACCTGTTAATATAAATCGACAATAAAATTTTGGTTTTATGCTAAAAAAAACAGTATTGTCTGTTTAAAGTAGAAGGAACGAAACTCCTCTAAATCGCGGTAGAAACCAAAATCTTGAAAATGTTTACACCCTGTGGAAAAAAAAAAGTTAATGATTTGAAAAATCTCACAAAAACACAGTCAGTCTCAAATGAGCTTGTTCAGCGCCAGATTTTATCTCTTCGCGACAGAGTTTCACTGAAGCACTCTCACATTGACGTATTCTGGCGAGGCTCTCTGGGACTATTTCTTTTCTATCTCTTTACCGCGGTTCCACAGCGATTTCACACTTCGCAGCGACTCAGCTTGTGGAACATGAAAGCGCCAGCGAAGTCCGCCATCACAATACAATTAGCAGACCCATCCGAAATTTTCTCACGCGTTCATTTCTATTTACTCACTCGCTGCGCGCACTTGCATGCTTATAATGGATGTTTGGGCCCCGTCCCGTCCCCGACTTCCCAATTTGTTCTTTGCACTTATTTGTATTGCGTTGGTGGACCTGTTTAGTAACCACGCGACCACTGATCCCGGTGGAACTTTATTGTACCATCCAATCTGTTCTGCCTGGCGTTCTATTCAGTAGGAAGGGATTATGCCTGAGCGGGCGGCATGGGAATGTGGCAAAGCCCAAAGGGCAAACTTAACAAGTAGGTGGTCACAAGACTGTGAGAACAGAGCAGACAGTGACAGCCTAGATATGTACATATGTACATATAATAAACTGCTCGTAGTCGAATGGGCTCTATTAATTAGCAGACGGCTGGCTGCAAGTCATTTGATTTGGTTTTAATTAAGGTTTTTGTATTGGTGTGTGTTTACAGACTCCACACTTAAAAAGCACACAGTCATCATTTTATATACATATGGTAGCGTTGCAATAGTTATATGTCTCCGACAGATGTTAAATATTATTAAAACACATGAATTATAACAGTTAAAATAAACAATACAGCTCCAACTCCAGTTGGACGAAGTAAGCATAAAAAAGACTTCGCCTTGATGTTTTTGATTTCTCTCAGCAAACATTAAGATATATGTATGTACATACGTCTGCTAATTCAATATGCATGAATATTAACCACATGGGAAGGCGATGGGCAGCAGCTCAATCATTCGAAAAGCGAAATTCGGCTAATTCGAATGCCAGGCTAGAGATCGTGCATTTTATGACACAAAGCAGAACTGCTTTCCTCAGTGTTAGTAATTTACATGGTAATTATCATAACTTCGCTATAACCGATGGACGAAGAAGCAGCAGAGTCGAAAAACGGTGAGATTTAAGTCTCTTCTTCTCGGTTTCTGTCTTGTTTGCTGGCTGGTCGCCGTCGTTGAAATTTAAATGAGGGGAAAGTGTTCGGTATGTCTTGTCGTCAGCACCGTCACAACCGCCATAGTCTGTATTGATCGCGTCGTTGTTTCACCACTACGGTAGTGGCTAAAGTGCTTCCGGTTGTATGCTCAAGGGTCCGATATAAATATCTGACATAAATTCTTAATATTGAATATCTGCAATGAGCCCAAATAATTTTGGTCTGACGGAGCCTGAAGTTTTCCACCAACGACCAAGGTGTTTAAATGGTTTTGATTTACCTCAAAGAACCGACCGATAACCTGTCGCAGTCAATTTTGTGCTTTTGCCTGCGGCCTAAATTTTACACTCAATTAACAACCGTCACATTCTAGCCATTAATCATGTGTTACTTTACAACCCAGAAAAAACGGAAGAAGCTCGGGATTAAGAAAAGCGGCTGACTATTGCTGAAACTGTGCCTTACTCATTTATTCGTTATTATTTGAAAACAAATTTTATATATATATATAAAAATGCTATGACAAACTTCAAAAAAATAAACCAAAAATAAAATTCAATATGTCAAAATACCCATTTTCGTAATCACGTTAAAATTTAAAAATGATAAATAATAATTTTAAATCTTGTTAAATTTGTAACTCTCTTTTTATACAAAATTTTCCATCTTATACAATTTCCAATTAATAAGTGGATTTAATACAATTAATAGTATATGTTAAATATTTACAAAATTATAGCCAAAAATTCACGTTTTAGTTTTTTCTAGTATCGGGTCCATTTAGCTTTTAAGATTACATAGCTTTTGATTATAACATATTTTTCCACACAAATTCGCCTTTGGGAGTTATTCAGCATTACAAAATTCAACGCATGTCAGATCTTTATACCCTTGCAGAGGGTATTATAATTTCAGTCAAAAGTTTGGAAAGCAGTAAAGGAGACATTTCCGACCCTATAAAGTATATATATTCCTGATCAGCATCAACAGGAGAGTCGATCTAGCCATGTCCGTCTGTCCGCCCGTCTGTCCGTCCGTCCGTTTCTACGCAAACTAGTCTCTCAGTTTTAAAGCTATCTGCTTTCCCAAAAGTTGTCTTTCTATTGCAGGTAGTATATAAGCCGGAACGAGCCGGATCGGGCGACTATATCATATAGCTGCCATATAACTGAACGATTGGAAATGTGGTGTTTTTAAAGTTCGGAAGTTCGGATTTTTTATTGATTTTATTTTTGGCCAACCATAGTATTACAATTTTTTTTTTCATTTTTTTTTAAATTTTTTTCTGAATGCACAACATTTTGAGAATATTGTGTTAAAATTTTAGATCGATCCGAGTAAAACTTCCGAAGTTATGGACAGTTGAACGTAGGTAAGTTAGCTCGTTTTGTATTCGATTTTTGGGTGTCCAAAACGCTCTCCTGAAAAGTGGCCATTTCAAAGTCGGTGTACACGATCCTGCAAAATCTATCGGACGGATCTATTTGAGATTTTACACAGTATTTATTTACTAAATTCCTCAGGTAACGCGGCTATAGGATATAGTCGACCGATCCTTATATTTAAAACTGAGAGACTAGTTTGCGTAGAAACAGACAGACGGACAGACGGACATGATTATATCAACTCAGGAGGTGATCCTGATTAAGAATATATATACTTTTTAGGGTCAGAGATGTCTCCTTCACTGCGCTGCACACTTTTGAACAAAATTATAATACCCTCTGCAAGGGTATAAAAACTAAAATGTGTTTAAAATTTGTGTTGTGCCAAAAGATAAAACAGAATATGGCAAATATTTTTAAGGGTACCAAATCTTTTTTTCAGATTTTTACTATATAGTTTGAGCACGACAACAATTCAAGTCTTAATAAATAAAAAAAATAAGCAGAATGAATATTTAAAAAACAAAATTTTAATTTTGTTAATAATTTAAAATTTATAAACATTTTTTTGTTTATGGAATTCATCGAATAAATAAAAGTTGATTCAATTGTACTACTATGACCCTTTTCAACCTTTTGTGTGTAAGCTAGTGTAATTATTTTGTATTATAATTTAAGCTTAAAACAAAAACTGATATCAAAATAAAAACACCTCTTAACGAGGTATGAATCAAAATATATTCACACAATTTTAAAAGTTTCCGGTATAATTTCGAAAATTTCATATAGAATTAAATTTGATGTTGCTTAAAATTGGTAATTGCGAATTACTACAAAGTACTTAACATCTGAAGATTTTGTTAAAACTGATACTTACAGTATCAGTACGGCATGATACTTACAGTTTTTCACAGATGTGTAACCCTCGGCTGCGCTGCCAGTACTACCACCGTTAGTGCCCAAGGCCGATCCATTAGGGGCGTGGCCATTTGAGGCTCGCCCGAGGCTATTTAGCGTCGTAGTGCTGCCCGCTCTCGATCGCCATCCCCCTTGACCGGAAAGGGCTAGATGGTGGCTGCCGCCGCCGTTTCCGATTCCGTTGCCCAGACCCACGCTGGTCAAGTCGGCACTTGACTTGCTGCCGGCACCGCTCTTCAGGGTGCCGTAGACGCTACCGCCCCCTCCGGCTCCGCCCGTCTCCAACTGGCGGGCATACGAGTTGTCAGCGTATGCGTGAAAGCAGCACCTGACTAGCGCGTTTGCGGCCGCCTCCCGCTTGCAGATAAACACGTGGCACTCAAGCACTTTGATGCCGGTGGTGCGCCGCAGGATAGCGGCGAAGATGGGTGGGTGCTGGGCGCGCGGCATTCGGGCGAAGGGCGAGTCCAGCGGCAGGAACTTTGGCTCCGGGTGGGAGTTTCCTCGCTCCGGGATGAGCACCTGCCGCACGGCGGCACAGTAGTGCAGGGACTCGATCGGGAAGAAGCGCGTAATCTGCTTAAGGTTTTCGTCTACGTTCTCCAGCAGGATGCCGTTCGACCAGACGCTCAGCCAGCTGTCGATGCCCTTGGCGCCCACGGCCCCCTCCGAAGGATAAAGGCTGCGCAGCGGCTCCTGGATGCCCTGCAGTCCGTCCTTGCTCTGGCGCGGCACGGCGCTGCCCAAGTAAAGCACGCGGCACCGACAGATGGGAGTGGAGTCGCTCATTGTGGCTACGTAGCGGACTTACGAATACGTAGAGCTATAGATACAGAGGTGTAGCTCTGGGGAGCGACGTTCCAGTCGAGAGCGCGAGGAGAGCTTGGAGCAAGTCGAAAAATGTGGATTTTCTGGTTTCGCTTTGTATGCTGGCCACGTTCGTTTGCACAGGTATTTCTGTGACTGTGTCTGTGCCCAGGTGCGGTTCTTAGGCCGTTGTGAGAGAACTTTTTCGCTTAGGTAAGCGGATATTTTTCGCCGCGCACTCAAAGCCACTTGCACTCACACCAGCGTTCACGATCGGGTTCCACCAACACGTCCGCACGCACACTCGTCCATAGCGGTGTGACAGCACACACACATACACAGACGCTGGCTCTGGAAATTGTATTCCCTTACCAAACTTTGTTCGTAATTAGGTAGACTCTGATGGGGTAATGTCGGAACACTTGGAGTGCAAAGGCTCCCGATGGTCTTTGCACTTACACACAACCGGGCGCTCACTCACCGGAGCTGAGACACACACACACAATCGTTTGGAAACAAATATGGCGTCGCGAGTTCTGATCCCAGGCTTTCCCTTTACACAGTCAACTCTGCGGGCGCGTAGAGTAGCTTTCCACTCCGCCCGGAAAATTCAGCTGGGACTGGTTCGACTCTCCTGGATCAACTGGAGGTTGTCTACCGGATCGACTTGTTGGCGCCCGCTTCGAATTCGAGCTTGTCTACGCGACGACGTCTCCCTGGAAAATGAATCTGGCAAACAACGTCTCAGGTTAGTGTCGTCTACTTAGTCTTCGTTCGTGGCGAAAGAGTAGTCGGCTCGGCGCTCGGAAGTCACTCTCTGCACTCAGTAACCTGCTTACCTGCCACTGCTCTCTGCCCGACTGACTTAAGGTAGGTAACAGAGAGAGCAAGAGAGTGTGTACTGCCTCGACCTACTCTTGTAGGCTCTGCTGGGCTGGGCTCAGGAAAGAAGTCGATAATCCTCTACCAGATCAGCCAAATAGATACATACATATATTCCCGGAATGGCTTAATCCACTGAAAGGTCAAGCAGATGTATGTATAAATGTGCAACTAAAAGTAAGAGTAAATATGTAAATAGACTAGTATTGTACTTTGCGCATTCGTACACTCATACAAATTTTCACCCGAAATTTTCCTAAAATAGGAAACCAAATACGATTGGACAATACCATTTACTCGTCGATTTTTCCTAAATTTATGAATCATTTGATATTTAAACTTTATTTTTTTATAAAAAAAAGGTTTGCCTCAGAAGAGTCAATGATATTTTATTAATTAAATCGATTATTTCGTTTTTATTTTTAAAATAAGATTGATCAAATAATAAAAAAAAGAAGTAGTTTCATTAAAAAAAATTTTTTTACCTTTAGGCTTAAACTTTTCTTTGTTGTCTAAGTTCAGAATTGAACTTTCCTAAAAAAATAGTGGTTTGATTCATTTTTTTTTAACCAGTTAAATATCAATCTCAATTTCCACTGACTTACATACATATGTATGTACATGCATATCTATTTAAAAGATAAATAGTTTAAGTTTAAGATTTACCCAATAATATGGCTTAATCTCATGATTTATAGGCATAGTAGATGATGAGTAGATGCTTTCTTGAAATAAAAAGAAAAATTGTTGGTAAAAAAACGGTGTATTTTTAGTCTATTGGCTTTCTCTAATATTGGCTCTGAAATAAATAAAAACGGAAACGGGATAAAAATCAAAGCCTATATTACTGAAATTTTTTTTGCATTGTTTCATTCTAAAGAAAAAATACATTATATATGCAAATTTGACTATTAAATGTTTTCATAAAGTATTTATGGTAAAATTAATTATGAAATCAACGCTGATAATCCAAATTGGCTACCTGCTGTTGGGTCAACCTATCACCACTATGCAGAAGAAAAACAAGCGAATCTATTAATTTATTTTTCGGGAACGACAGTTTTTTAATTTTACTATATACTGCTGTAATAATGACATAAAAATAGTTTTTTTATTTTTTATTATAATTTTGGTCAACAGTGTGCAACGCAGTGAAGGATACATCTACGACCCTATAAAGTATATATATTCTTGATCAGGATCGCGTCCTGAGTTGATATAAACATGTCCGTCTGTCCGTCTGTCCGTCTGTCTGTCCGCCTGTCCGTCTGTCTGTTTCTACGCGAACTAGTCTTTCCGTTTTAAAGATATCGAATTGAAACTTTGCACACACCTTCGATCCTTTGCACGCAGTATATAAGTCGGAACGCCCGGGATCGGCCGACTATATCCTATAGCCGCAATATAACAGATTGATCGGAAATGCAATAACTTTGGTGTTTGAAAAGTTAGAAAGTTGGAATTTTCTATGGGTTTTATTTTTGTTCAATCAATCCGACCTACTAAATTTCATTGGGATCGGACGACTAAATCCTATAGCTGCCATTTAACTGAATGATTAAAAATGCCATAACTTTTTTTATGAGTATTAAGAATGCATCATATGAGTAATTTTGGAGAATATAATTTATAGAATATTCTGCAAGGGTATATAGACTTCGGCTCCGCCCGAAGTTAGCTTTCTTTTCTTGTTTATTTTCTACTTTATGCTTGTGTTCTTTGGTTGTATGTTTTTTTGTAACATTTATTTTTTGTGTGTTACTTTTTTATTTCGATTTTTAAGCGATGGGCAAACAATTTTTTCTGCAGGTAAATATGATCAAAACTTAAAAGTAGAATATTTTCAAAAGTATTAATATTTTCAAAATTCTAAAAAATGGGCAAACGTGGGTCAGCGATTCTCTGGCGATTAAAAAAAAAAAATTTGAAAAAGTCAATTTTTATGTTTTTTCAAAACTAAAGTTGGGCAAAAAAAATTAAAAAGTGGGCAAATATAGGCAAAAAATGGGCAAACGATTAAGCTATTCAGCCAAGCAGAACGAAATTCTTGGAAATATGTTCTAAAGCCACTTAAAAGTGATTTGGTCGATGGTAGTTGCATGACTAGAATTTATTTGAAATTTTCCGGTCCGAGAAGATTATATACGTTTTCCGAAGTATCCGGAGTGTTAACCGTCACTGTATGGTAGTAAAAAATCGTTTTTAAAATCAGAGAGGTCCGATGTTTTTTAGGAACATAGTATATGGGTTAAATCTAAAACTTTGCTTGAAACTAAGTTGTGACGATTTGGCTGAGCTAATAGCTACCGATATAAATTCATATATCTCAGTTTTTGCTTGAGACGGGAATGCAAATGGTAAAAAATGGTTGTTCCGACTATTTTATTTTTATACCCTTGCAGAGGGTATTATAATTTTGGTCAAAAGTGTGCAACGCAGTGAAGGAGGCATCTCCGACCCTATAAAGTATATATATTCTTGATCAGGATCACCTCCTGAGATGATATAGCCATGTCCGTCTGTCCGTCTGTCCGTCTGTCCGTCTGTCCGTATGTCCGTCTGTCTGTCCGTCTGTCTGTCCGTCTGTCTGTCCGTCTGTCTGTTTCTACGCAAACTAGTCTCTCAGTTTTAAAGCTATCGAATTGAAACTTTGCACACACCGTTCTTTCCTTTGCACGCAGTATATAAGTCGGAACGGCCGGGATCGGCCAACTATATCCTATAGCTACCATATAACTGATTGATCGGAAATGCCATAACTCTGCTGTTTGTTAAGTTAGGAAGTTGGGACTCTCTATGGGTATTATATTTGGCCAATCAATCCGACGTACCAAATTTCATAAGGATCGGCCGACTATATCCTATAGCTGCCATATAACTGATTGATCGGAAATGCCATAACTTTGGTGTTTGTAAAGTTAGAAAGTTGGGATTTTCTATGGTTTTTATATTTGGCCAATCAATCCGACCTACCAAATTTCATAAGGATCGGCCGACTATATCCTATAGCTGCCATATAACTGAACGATTCGAAATGCCATAACTTTGGTGTTTTTAAAGTTAGGAAGTTTGGATTTTTTATGAGTATTAAGAATGCATCATAGGAATAATTTTGGAGAATATTATTATAGAGAATTCTGCAAGGGTATATCAACTTCGGCTCCGCCCGAATTTAGCTTTCCTTTCTTGTTTATTGTAAGCACGTCTATTTTAAAGTAACTTTCTAAGTCCTCTATCACAAATGAAGTGAGCTCAAAAAGGTTGTGGGTGTCGTTTTAAAATGTTGATGTATTAGTACAGTATTGAAAAATGACTCGGCACTAAGCCGGTAACTGTAACTTTAAAATTAATATTATTATAATTATTTAAAAGCAAATAATTAAATAATTATATTCTTTCATTCTACATTTAAGAGCATAATTTAAAAAAACGAAAATGCTTACCATTTGGGAATATATGTCAATTTGGCTGACTCTATTTTCAACCAGGATTGGTCGCTGTGAAAAAAAATACGATTCCATTCTTTGTAGAATTGCGATTCTGCGTTAAGGATTTCTTGTGCTACTGCCCTAGTGATCTGTACAGCTGTACAGCTAGATACGTACAATCCGATTCAATTCCATTGATTAACTTTTCAGTTCTGGCTTTTTGAGCTCTTCGGTCCCTTACTACCATGATTTTAAGCTTTCCCTGATTGCTAATAAGTCCCTTTGCGCCCAAGCCCGACGCCAGGTTTTATTATTGCTTACAAGGATCATCAAATTCTTTTGACTACTGAGGAAATATGATTTGATTTGATTTTGGGTCACCAAGATCGTTATTCTATCCAAAGAGTTGCCAATTAACTTGTAAGTCGCGTATTTCGGATTGACCTGATAAAAGGTCATAGGCTTGCACTAAGAGCCGTTTAAATTTAGTAAATTATCTCGACACCAGTTTTGAACGTTATCTAAATCGGATTGTAAGACTAAATGGCAGGAAATATCCTTATATGTCAGGCATAATTTAACATCATAACCAAGTGGGATAGTATATGAGGTTTGACTTGGATATGGTGTAAGAACAAGGCTGGATAAATGATCTGAAGTAGATTAAGTCTTTTAAAAAAATTTGGAAAATTAATTCGGCTATTGTCTGATCTGTGGTTGCCGTCATGTTTTCCAACGACATCGAGGCAGTTAGCTTGCTACGCAAGCCTTTTGCGTTCCTGATACAAAAGAAGAAGGATAGAAGTTAGTTTTTTCAAGATCGTACATTGGTTTGACCTCGACAAGGAAGATTTTTCAACAGTGCATATGGCTTCTAAATTACGTTTGGGACAGTGATCTTTAAAGATGAAATGTTCCTAGCGTAAAAAAAATAATCTTTTCCACTTTTACACTATTACTATCGCCATTGTATATCAGACAATAATAATAATTATACAATGATTAGGGATCAAGCCGAGAAGCAAATATTTGTTCCTTTCGTGTTTGGATGCCAAATCTTTTTTTAGCTGCTGATCTGATCAACATTTATGAGTTTTCTGCAATCAGCTGCTGATCCACCGAAATGCCCTAAATGCCTTAGTTAAAGTGAATGCAACGTTCGACAGAAAGCAAACAGAGCTTTCCTTTGTTTTAATAAAAACAAGAAAGGAAAGCTAACTTCGGGCGGAGCCGAAGTTGATATACCCTTGCAAAATATTCTGTAAATTATATTCTCCAAAATTATTCATATGATGCATTCTTAAAAAGTCCCAACTTCCTAACTTTAAAAACACCAAAGTTATGTCATTTCCAATCGTTCAGTTATATGCCAGCTATAAGATATAGTCGGCCGATCCTTATGAAATTTTGTAGGTCGGATTGATTGG